TATATTATTATGTTATATAGATATATAAATATATAGATATATACATACAGAGAGATATATTATTATAATCTGACCCGTATCTTGTGATTTGTTTGTATTAAAACTTCTGTATTCTACTATTTCTTTTTTCTCCTTTTTCTTAAAGAGAATTATGTCAGAATGAGACTGACTATTCACCTCGTCAATCTTTCAACTGCCGCCATTTTGATTCTATTTTTTTCTAAAAATATTATTAACTATTTTAATAAGAGATCATATTTTGTTGTATATATGTGAGAATGAGAATGAGGGTAATATGAGATTTTTTTACAAATCAATTTTTTAAAATAATTTAGAATTAAAAAATTCTGATATGAACAAGATGAAATATATATTATTGACACTTGATATGCAGCCATAGTAGTAAAGAAGTCCAGTTTAAAATAGACTCTGAATGGTGTGTTCATGATTGTTGTGTGGTGTTTTATGTTCTCTGAGCTGGATGTTTTGGGACACAGTTTTGGAGTTTTGCGTTTTTACACATTTGAAATCATTGATCAATCATTGTTAGACCATCATTAGAAACCTGGAAGCACTGGACGGCCGTTTCGTCCTAGTATGGGACTCCTCAGCAGTAACTACCAAAGACAAATGAGTGAGGTCGTGCAAAATCCCTAGATCAATCAGAGTTAGACACCGTTGGATGCCTGCCCAGTGGTCCGATGGTAAGGCGTTCGCCTACAATGTCAAAGGTCCCGGGTTCGAATCCTGTGAGGAGCAGGAGTCTTGGATGTGCACTGCTGAGGAGTCCCATACTAGGACGAAACGGCCGTCCAGTGCTTCCAGGTTTCTAATGGTGGTCTAACAATGATTGATCAATGATTTCAACTGGATATTTTGATTGTGGAGATTTCATTATCAGCACAAACTTCAGATGGAAGTATTTATGATTGTCTGGCAAGATGACTTGAAATGGGAATGAAAATTAGGAAATTAGAGGATTTTAACGAAAATGAATCAATCTTCATTGATAATTGATCGACCAATGTGATATGTGTGATCAGCTCCTCCTTCTTCGTGTCGATTGAATTCTGTCGATCGAGTTTCAAAGTGGTCATTGATTTCGGTGACTTGACATCGTATGTACTATGTAGGTGGGATATAAGATGATAGTAGGTAGATGAAGGCAGTTGACAGGAATCTCTATGTCAACCTAAATTTTATGCTGTTTGATGATAGTTGTCAGTAAGGTGTACCTGTAATCCCAACATAACTGATGTTCTCAAGTAATCAAAGGAGCTGACATATTGACATTGGTTACTAGACACTGACCGACCAATTGTAAATACTATTCGGTTCTAAAAGAGATCAATTGAGACCCGAAAATTTCAGTTGTTGTAACGTTTCTGTCTGTAAAGCTGGGTGACATGGTGACATAGAATCCACCAAGAAGCATCAGTTTCTTCAAGATTACAAGTTCATCTTGCTGGTTAGTGCTAAATAGCATGAAACCTAGGTAAAAACAGAATATTCTGTCAACTACCTCAAACCACCACCTTAAAATGAAACATGTTACATGTTACATTTATTAATTACGTTTATCCAAACGACGATGTTTAAACTCCTCCTCATGCTGCACACACTGACAGTTTATAACTTAATAAATTCATCACTATAAATCTTTTGTTTTTTGGTTTCTCTGGTTTTCTTTCAATCTACTTCTATCTCAACTATCATTGAACAGTAAGAGAGCCAATGATTGATTATGGTTAATATATTTCTTAATCAATAATAGTAGACTAACTCTCGAAAACTTGCACCGAATAGATTATGTCATGATATCAGTTCACTGACTGTTGTTTTGTTGAACCATAAAAGGAAATGAGAATTTATGAGACATTCGAAACTTGATGGTTGGCAATTTTCGGTTAGTAAAGCAAGCTGTCAGTCATACGTGGAGAATACTTCAACTTCTATCTGAAGTTGTTGTTCAGCAGAAGAACAATGAAAGCTCCACAAGCAAAACATCCAACTCGGAGAACGAAACTTCACCACACTTTTGTGCTATTTCTCTTGTATATGTCTACATCTGTTTGCTCCATTTGTAGCGGTTGCCTATAACTTAGAGGAGTGTCAACCACTGATTAACTAAAGAAACCTAAAGTATGAACGGTTACCAAATCATCTTTTACTTAGTGTTATGTAATTTCTTATTCATTAGTAAAAGTTAAGCGATACAATACATTGACGTTTTCCTATTTAATATTTGAAAACATTTTCAAGAAGTCCTCAATCATTTATTATCAACGTGAGACCTATGACTAGTGTGTGTCATTCTGGGTTGTTATACTCTAGGAAATCTTGAGTTTTAGTTTCACACTTGTATGAAATTCAAGTATCGATTGAGTTTTATGTTGAAAAACATATAGCTGTCAATTATCTTCTACTAGTATTCGATCACAGATGTCTTGGATGCACTGCTCGTGTATCCTGGGACAACGGAGTAAGCAATGCTGCCATTAGGAAGCGAGTACTAGGTAAGGATGGCAGATCAATAGATGAAGTATTGAAACTTCATCAGTTGAGGTGGTTAGGACATGTGTTACGTATGCCTAACCACCGACTGCCGCGACGAGCTATGTTTTGCAGTGTAGGAGTAGTTTGGAAGAAAGCTAGGGGCGGCCAGACCAGAACATTGTGGAAATCTATGAATTCACTAACAAGTGAACTTAGTGATTTTGGTAGATGTTGGCTACCTGGTTGGGGTCCGCGAGACTAAAGTCATCAATGTTTAGAGATCTTGGACGATATGGCTCAAAATCGTTTACAATGGTGCAGATGCATCCACTCTTTGTGTTCTCTCAAATCCCCTAATCTTCTGGATCCGTCAACACCTCTACCTTTGTCTTTCTAAACTTATTTCACTGAATTACACTTCTTCTACTGCTAATACTTCTAGTATCTCTATCACTATGGGATTTGAATTGACAATTAGGTCTCTGTGCTAATGTGATGTGGTAACATGAACTGATGTACTTACGTACGAAGTTATACGTTGTAACTGACTGACTAATGTACCAGGCTACGTTCATATGACTTTGTTTAGTCGGGCTCTTTGAGATTCCAAGGATTAAATTCGTTGCGGTTTTTTAAGCCGCTTCTATTGGCTCAGATTTTTTATTTGATAGGATTCAATCGTTCAGGTTTTGGTTGGGAAAAGGTATCCACCTGCTTAAATATCTGGGCTACCTGTTTTCCTAACTTCAACATATTTTAACAAATTACCTCAGTTTAACTCTTTCTTAACACGTCAATTATGTTTATCAATCGTATAGTCTACTAAGGCGCGTAGACAAGTCGTTTACGACCCCTATCGCTTCACACAGTACAAAAAAGTATAATCCTACACACTTCTTGATAGCTGTCAATCTGCTGAGAAAAGAAATGAACGTTGATAAGATTTGGATTCCTGAAGTGCTGAGAATTCCATACTTGTACTGAACATATGTAATATTGAATAAAGCCATTATTATTATTATTACTAATTATACAGAGGTTTCAAATGACACCAATGAAACCCCCTACGAACAGACTCTCTTATGATACTGTTGTGAGATATGCTTTCGGAAGTAGTGAAATCAAAGTCTAACAACGCTTACATTATTACATTACTTATCATTTTAGTTAAGGATGGCTAATCAGCCAGTAATCGCAGGAACATCAATAGGATAAAATGACTAAAATGACAGAGTATAAGTTTTATTATAGTTAGTCAGGATTTTTAACGGCTCAATTGTTCTCAATAACCTTTACTTCTAGGTATACACACACGTGTTACGCCTAATGAAGCATAGCAGTCTACTATGCCTTAGGCCGTCCTTTCTAGTTCTGTTCAAATGTTGTTCATTCTTCTGATGTGTTTTTTGGTCTTCCTTTGGCCTTAAGCATCCCAAGTGAGGGCTTGTCTTGTGGTGCAGAGCTTCTTCCTCCGCTAGAATCCAGTTTGTTCTCACCCATAGTAGGTTGTTGTTGATGGTGTCTGGCCAACGGATCCTTAACATTTTGCCTAGACAACTTTTAATAAGTATATTCTGGATGATGACTTTCATAGTTTCTAGGTATATAGTTATGAAAACAATTACATCCTAATGATGATCAGTATTATTTTAAAGTAGAAATAGGAGTTTTCAGTATTCTTGAACCGATATATTCATGTTGAAAAAATCAATTCAAAAGAGATTAAAAATCCAAATTATTTAAACACAAATTTGTGCATATAAAATTCACTCTGGCTCATAACACACATAAAAAAATTTCATTTGTTTCTCTCCTATATAGCAGAAGAAACACACGAAAAAAACCCTCTAATGGTTTTTTTGTTTTGTTTTTCTAATCAATTTCTCTCAATAATTATTATTCCATTTTTAAGCGGTTCATGTGAATTTTACCAATAATCTCTCATACCAAACAAACATTTATCCAATCGATTCAGACAAAGTATTTTTCTTTAGTAAAAAAAAATTATATTAATGTTCCTAGCATTATTATTTTGTATTTTAAGAAGGTTTCGCATAGTTCACCTATAATTCATAGTCCCACCATATGAATGAATACACATACACGCATACACACACACGCGCACATACACACACACATACACACAAAGAATACAAGAGAAAAATAATAAAACAAACTAAACGCTTCAATCTGACAGGCTGGATTCAATATATCAGGCCATGACCTTGAAATCGTCAAAATAACCTTGAATCTAGCGCCAGATTGTTTAATGAGCCAATCAGAACGCTGCTATCGATCGATTGCCATTTGCAAGGGTTGTTTGTTATTTGTTATTGTCCGCCCTTGTTCTCGCTCTTGTTCTTTCTCATAGTTATTTGTTGTTACTTGTCCTAACCGGCCGTAGAGAAAAAAGTATTCTTTTTTTTCGTCTTATTATTATCATTATTATCATTCAATTGTGTTCAACAGTGGTGTGTTGATTTTGGTTAGCAGACAAATTTATTCTTTGTTGGAATTAAAAGCTTAATTCGATTTCTGCTTCGTCTACTGTTGTGTGTGTCAACGTGCGGTTCCCTTTTTTTTTTAATAATTCTGAAGAAAAAAAATTAAAACGAAAACTGGCATAGAATGAAAATATCATTCTTTATGTATTTACCACCGACAACATGAGAAAAAAGACAAGATTTCTATGGATACGTGATTTGCCTGCAAAATGTAAAGATGCAGATTTGCGTAATGTTCTTGAAAGGTGAGTTGTCGTTGAGTTTTGTTTTCATTTGTTTTGTTGAATAAAATGTTTTTTTCTCTCTTTAATATTTCTCTGCTTATTTTTTATTCCCATTTCAAGGCATGCTGGTGGTTCCATACAAAAAATTCGTCTATTCAAACAAGATCATTTACGTCATGCTATAGTGACATTTGTGGATATTAAATCAGCTGCAGCAGTGATTAATACAGAGAATAAAATTAATGATTCATTATTAAAAATGGAATATTGCAGTTCATCGGATGCATTAACTACACCTACAACAAATACAAACACTACTACTACAATGGGAATTATCAATCATAATAATAATAATAATAAAAGTAACAGCAACAATACTACTAATAACTCACATCGTAATACTACTAATAATACAGTATTAACTAATTCATTGTCTACATTTAATCATAATAATACAAACAATGATGGTAATAATAACAGCAATAATAACAATAATTCGGATCGTAAAACAGAAAAGTGAGTTGTTCATTCGGAAATTTTCTGTTCATGTTGTTGTCGTGGTTGTTGTGGTTGTGATTGTGTTGATTTACTATGTTTTAATGAGTTCTTGTTGTCGTTCTAATTGATTGATTGATTCCGACGACGCCTTTCATGTTTTTATGATTATCTTTATCGTGTAATCTGTGATTAGATCCCTGTTCGATTGATATTAGTAACTGGATGACCGCCATCCCGTCCTTAATAGTAGTTAGAATTGATTAGTATAGTGGTCAATGCGCCACCGTCATGGCAAACAAGCATATTTTTCTATTTACTTTTGTAAGATACGAGTTTGGTTTAGGAATTGTGGAGAAGAGGAGGATTGCTTTCCTTTTGTCTCTAAGTGTAATGGGACTGTTTTTATTTTCCCTTGTAATTTGTTAATCGATTGGGATAATTATTCTGTATGGTTCTTATAGTGGTGATTATATCATTTAGGTAGGTGTAAGTAGGGTATCGTTTAACAATGGACAAGATTTTTGTCCTAAAATTCACTTTTTCTCCGTTATGACGATTTTCACGGTGAAACTCAAATTTTTCGACATGGATTAAATGATAAATTTCAATTATAATAAGGGAAGTATGATGTTTAGGTGTTTTATAGAACTTTTTTTTAATTCAATCTTAATATCAGGATTTGTACTGTATTTATTGTCATTTCCTTTTCCACATTACATCGAATTTTGTTGATATATTTAACTCATAGAACTCTTATTCTAAATGACAAATGTTTATCAGAATTAGTTTATTCTATCAGTTTTTTTTAATTGAATGATGAAATCTGATCTATCACGGTCAGGATGTTGTTGTGGTTGGTTATTTGTTGTAGTTGTACATTGGTTGAATTGAATCAACATTGATTTTTTGTTTTGTGAAGTAGCTTTGATTTATTTATCGATAAGATTATAATATTACTGATTGTAGAAATTGAGACTAAGGTTTTTATGCTTTGTGGGTTCTTTTCTTGTTGATACCAAGATTTTATTATCTGTGTTAATGATAAGTAGTGTTATTTTAGTTTAAAATTATTCATTCCAATATCGTTTATATTCTTACTGTTAGGGTACATATAGTAATAGACGGTTTTAGAACTTCATTATATTAAGATATATTGGCTTAGAAGAATTAGGAGAGAGGTGTTTTTTTTTTCTGTTTTAAAAATAAGTCAATTAATTATGACTTGAATTGAGAAATAAAAATTTGAATTCTGAATCGTTATACTTACTTACTGGCTGACTTACTTACTCCTGTTACTCCTGATGGCGCATTCTCCAACCTACTCTATACTAGGCTTTTCTTTCCTGTTCTAACATGTTGCTATTCATTATTTTCATGTCTGTCTCCAATTTTTGATGTATTGTGTTCTTTGGCCTCCCCAGTCATCATAGTACAACACAAAAAGTAGTAGTTTCTCTATAAATACAACTAATCTATCAGGTTCAATATTCACTCATTGTTATCATTATTATTCATAATAATAAGTAGTACCCTTTGTTCATTGATTTGTTTAATCAGGAAAATCTGTATAATATCATGAAAGTAGTCAATAATTATTTTAACGTCTCATATTCTGTGCTTATTATTATATTTGTTTATTTTGTTTTATTCCATAAAAGACAACTTAGGCCACACTCTGCTTCACTGTTCCATCCATATCTCTTAAATTCACGATTTCTATGAACAAAGATTTAATTCATTACGTGCTGGCATTAGTTTCATAGTATTTATTCAAATTTTACTTTAAAAAATAGTGAATGTTGTATTCTTAACTCAATCTGTTATAAGTTACTATTATTACCATAAATCTAACTTGTTTTAATGGTAGAATAGAACATTCCAATTAGATATTTAGATATAAAATATACTGATAATTAACATCATATTTGACTAGAATTTAGTGCATAGTACTTTATATTTTCCTGTTTAGAATTCATTCCTTCATAATTGGATTTTTGTGTATATATCGGTTTTTTAAATTGATTTTTACTTAAGATGAGTGAACTAGTTGTGAATCAATCATAGATGAATGAAAGTTTATTTATAAAAATAAGTTCAACTCAATTACTCCTTTTTTTATTATTAATTAGTAATTTATAAATTATAGCTATTTTATTTATCATGGAAAAATGCCTTAGTGTGTACAGTAGAGAATGGGAAGACTCCATTTGATTACTTTTTTTTCAATCATTGTTCCACAAAAGTAGAAATCTAACTAGAAAACTTGTGAGTCTGAAATACAATTTTCATTACAACATCATAGTTTTAATTTGGTAATTTTAAGTAGTACTACGAGTTCAATTAGGTAAGTAAGTAAGTAGGTAGTAGGGTAGGTAGGTGCTTTCTGTTAAATAGTTTATGGCATAGTTCTATTATTTATCGACTAGTAGTCTGTTAGTTTCATGTATTGGGATATATTAATTAGAACAGATTCTCTATACCAAGTAGTAATCAGATTATTAATTTATGCAACCACTTATATTCTGTAGTGATATATTCGATGTGTTGAGTGTGTAATTAGATAGTGTAACATTATTCTCTCTTCCTGCCCTCTTATCAGTTTTTTTTTCTTTGTTCTGAATAATGTTTTCTTTTAAGTTGTGAAAGATTCTCATTGTGAAAATTTGACTAACAACCATATTAAATTGTCCTTTATTCTCTAATATCGAAATTAAGTGAAAGCAATTTATTTGTGAGTATTATAGCTACCATTATTATTTATTCTAGGCAGAATGTATAAATTCGATCGTAAGACAAATTTCGATATTACACTAATTGTATCTCAATTCTATTACTAGTAGTAGTACTCTTTTCAAATGTCCCCTCCACACACAATCGATTGTTATTCTTTGTTGTATTCTATCTATCTATCTATCTATTATTTGTTTTGCTTTTAAAAACGATACTGCAATGTCATAAAGATATCAAATAATCTCTTTTTTCTTTATTGAGATTATTTTAAAGGTATTTAGGATTTTGTACTATAAAAAGATATTCTTATTAGATAGATAATTATTCGTTTAGTGATTTTTTGTCTGAGTTAGTTGTTGATCGTAGTGTAGAAACGGTAGACTTGGAGTGTTATATTCAGTGAGTAGGTCCCCTTAAACAAAAAAGAACAAATGCCTGCTTCCATTTGAACAGCCTCGACAGCAATATCCTCCTAGTTCACTTACAAATGTAATAAATTTTTTGGCTTATGAATATTTAGGCGGCTCGTTTGTTGTAATAATTATGTTGTATTGAAATATGTTTGTTTCTCTTAATTGTACTGAATCAAGAGATTTCTATTGTTTAACAGTGTAACAGTAATAATGTCTGATAATGTGAATTCAAGTGTTATTACTCTTTCAATGTACTCTAGAATAAACACAGTTAAAATCATAATTAACTAGTCTAATAACTTTCATACAAAACATTACAGCTATCTTTGTTAACATATACAAATCACCAGTTGAAAAGAATAATTGACGAAGTGAATCTGTCATACATATATATTACTGTTAAAAGTATTTCTAGTTTTAGAAACAACAAATTCCTAGAATTCACTAAATTCTATTTGAGTTAACTCCCTTTCTCAGTAGTATCACAATCTGGTTTTTATTGTTAGCTAATTGAAAAAGTACAAATATATAGGGGTAGAGAGCTTTTCATTTCTTCTAATCATAACTTTAATATACTTGTGAGTTTTTGTGTCATTGTTTTTTTTGGAGAGTTTACCATTTTCTTTATTTGATATAATTAAAATTCAATAGAACTAGGTTGGTAGGGGTAGTTAGTTGTTTTACTAAGCAACTGGTGTGTGTGTATATTGATTTCATACTGCCAGTTTTCTAATCGCTACTTAACTGTTTTGTATTCGTAGAGGATACTTACTGAATTTACTCATAAAACATTCATAATCTGACAATTTATACATATATCCTGCTTCATTCTAATTTGCACAATCAACCCATTTCATTTATCTTTATCGTAATTGATTGTAATTCATCCAGTACACAAACACTGTAAACCTCATTGAATGAATAAAATTGTATTTCTCACTTCATCCTAATTCACCGACGTTAATGTATTACAGTTGAAAATCATCTGTACAGAAAAACTAGTTTTAATTATAATAATAATAATAATAATAATAATAATAATAATAATAATAATAAAAACTAGTTCATTAAAGTCAATAACAATTTTTTTTTTTAAAAAAAGTGATATACAATGAATGACTTGACCTATAAAATCATTAAAACAATTTCATTATGTCAGTTCAAGTTCATGATCATGATAAATTATCAATTGACGGAATCGATTTATCTACTAAACACATTTATTCAATCTGTTAATTGTCAATGTAGAATTTGGTACTTACGTACATACATCAATTCAAGTTGTCATATTGTATATTAGCACACAAAGAGAGAGATAATCGAAAATAAGTTTCTAGAAAAATGAAAGAAAGATTTTAAGGTGTTACAATATTGAACTAAGTCATTTAAAGTCTCTAATCATTCCGGTCACAATGGGTTATATGAATCACAACTAAGTAGATTAGTTGTCTACACACACACACACACACATCTATCAATATGGTTCAGTCTTCATAGATGACGACTGGTGTCATTGAGTTAGTTTGACAGAAATAGTGCAGAGTTCATTCATAATCCTGTTTTATTTTCTTCCAAAATAATGAATTATATCATTACTCTTATCTATTGTATCATTAGTATTAGTTTGTTGTGTAAAAATTAGGTTCATTTTTCTCTGTTTTTTTTCTTGTTAAGGCCAATTAGTACACAATCTTTCATAAACAAATTGAATTTTTATTCTAATATTTTTTTGTTTTTTGGTTGTTGTACCGGATTCCATACATTTCTTTACAAATTTTATTAGAGTTGATTTGTATAATAACCTAGATTTTATGGAATTTATATGACTTTATTAGTTAGTGTAGTAGTAAGAGTAGTAGTGGTAGTAGCAGTAGTACTCTTTTAAAAATCCTAATTAAAAGAAAAAAAAACCATGATTTTTCACATTTAATGATGAATGTGGATGTTTGTACTTATAAATTACTGAAATGTTTTAATTTTGTTTGCCTTAAAGAAAGATGAAAAAATATTTTTTTAAATTATTATTCTTATGATTAGGTATTAATTTAGTAAGTATTTTAAATTGTAACTAATGATACTATCGACATTGTGACTGTCCAATTTACTGTATAAATCCAAATATCAACACACCATGTTGTAGAGTGTTGTATGCAATCATGACTGCTAGCTACGTTACTTATGACTAACTGACTGGCTGACTTTCTATTATTTATTTTAACACATAAACCTTGATACAAAGTGACAGCTAAATATTTATTCGTCATACGAATTATTAGATTAGCAAGTAAGTCGGCTAGGATATACTGTTCGAATGCCCAAACCGAAGTAAGTAGTTTTCGTAGGGCATCATTTATCGTACCTTTGACTTATATGTCTCATCCACAAGACAATGAGTGGAGCAATGTCAGGAAATACCGTCCCATGATAGTTGATGACTAAAGTAAGGTTCATTCGCCATCTACCCACTCAGGATCTTGGAGTCCATGTGTATCATTGGGTTCTATATTGTTAAACTAGTCATTGGTGCTAATACATTTGTTGTTCTAATACATTTGTATCGATAGTTTGAATGTTTCCATTGATAGTCAGGATTGCAACTGATCAGTTTCATTTGGCTTTCTAGACTCAGTAGTTAAGTGGATCAAGTGGTGGTAGCATTTGAAATTAACGGTGCTAGGTTCCAGTTCCGAAGTGAAAATCAACTCTTGGATGTAGCCGCGATACCCAGCTGACGAGTTCCCAAATGGGAAGAAAAGCACATCTTTAATTCCACTGCTAGCCACTATTCATCTTCGATTATCATCAGTAGAGTTGTTTAAAACCTTAACTTTATGGTATCAGAAAATGAATTTAGTTGTGTGTTTTAGTGTTTAATAAAATTTCACAATCTTATATATTACAAACAAACAAATTATGAGCTAATGTGTTAGTTTATAATAACCGAATCGGTTTCGTATTTATGTACATACTTTTATTGTATTATCATTTTCATATTCATTGTAATGCAAGAATTTTCTCAGCTTCTTTGGTTTATTTTCTCCGGGGGTATTTTCCTTGTGACTGTTTCTTTTAAATTGTGGTTCTCATGAAACTGATAAGCAATTATTCCTTACATATTGAATACAGTAACCAATGTCTATTTTATTCTTGCCTATGTTATACAAAAATGGATTGGTTATGTGACCGGGATTACTCAACTATATACATCCCTATCTTGTTTTACGTATAGTCTTGAGAATAAATGAGTCATAGGAATAACAATTACATCATAGTAACAGGATTACATTCTAGTGGAGAGCGCTAATTGAGTTGTTCAAATGGCAATTGCTCAGTTAGATAAACAACTTAGGACTTGTAATATAATTAGAGGAATTGATTTAATTTACCACCACAATGACATGAAATTAATCAGTGACACATACTAAAAGAAAACTTGAAGTAATTATTGATTACTTTGTATCCAGATGTATGAAAAAAATATGGTTTACAATGTAGTAGTAAAAAGTACTTAAATAATTCAAATGAGATAATGATGTCTCTACATTGTTTTGATCTATATCACTTTAAGATATCTCTAACTAATTCAATCACTTCACATTCAATGTTAACTTCCCCCCCCTGTTTCCTCGTATTTCAATTTCGTTTTCACAAATGATGAATTACCCTAATGCATACAATGCTGTTAGTTTAGGCTGAATGACTTATCATTTGAAATATATACAAAGTTCTGTACATTTTTTTTGATTCTCTTGAAACCAGTCTTTTTTTGAGAGAGAGAGGGAAAGAGAGAAGAAGATAACAAGTATCTCAATCAGTATTCGTGCATGATAATGCTGTCTTAAGTATTAACAGCTCTATCTCTCTCTCTTTATTACATCCGATAATATCTGTGTTAGAGACCTTAAACGACATGGCTCAAAATCGTTTGCAATAGCGCAAGTGCATCCACTTTTTGTGTTCTCTCAAATTTTGACCTTCTGAATTCTTCATCACCTCTATCTTTCTGTTTCTAAATTTACCTCTCTGAATTATACTTGAATCATATTTTCGAACCTTAATCTTCTCCATTGATGCTAATACTTCTATACTACCTCTTCTACCACTATGGGATTTGAATTGACAGTTGTGTCTCTATGGTTATGTGGTATGGCAACTTGAACTGTTGTACGTATGTACGTGCGAAGTTCTGCGTTGTATCTTCCTCTCTGTAGGCACCTTTTCGTAGATCAACACTATTTGAAGAATATTGATCGTATGCTATCAACTGTATGATTCATTCAATCTTGAAATTTTATTCATTGTTCTAGTGTTCCTCGAGTTGTTAATATGAAAAAAAAAAGAAATTAGTGAGATTTTAGTCAGTAGTTTTACTTTTACAGACGAAAAACGATTTTTTTTCCGTATACTTGACAACACAGACTTGTGTTGGTTAAAAGCAATCATTGAACTAATGTTTCGTCTTAATCGCGGACCTTTAGACCTCCCAATGAACGCTAAAATGAAGTCAGCATCTTATATGAGGTGTACAATGTTTATAAACTGATCAAAGTTCTGGACCATCATTTGGAAAGCTGAAAGCACTGGACGACCGTTTCGTCATTGAATAGAACTCCTCGATGGCAATGTGCATCCACAACCATGCTAGCGGGGAATTGTGAACATAGGACCTTCGGCGTTGTGCGCGAACGTTTAACTTCTTGACTAATAAACTGACTTAATTTATCTTTAATATGTATTTACTTGATGTATGTACGTATATTTATTGCATTCAACATATCCTCTCATTCTACCTGGTTAGATGAAATTACGTAATAGTTTCGCACCTATTTTTTTTTGTCTACTTCAGAATTTAGTTTCACATGAAATGTATCATTATACATATAGTTTTGTTATAATTTTGATCATACCTATATGTCACATATGGATGATTAGAACCTTCTTTTTTTTCTAAAAAAAACATAAGTGATATAATTACCGTGACAAGATTGTAGGTCAATCAATGATAAACGATTATTATAATCTGATTGAATCATAAGGTTGGTGGTCTCTTAACACATTGGATTAGATTACTTATGGATTGCATAAGTTTTTTCTGCTTTTTTTAATCCGATCGATTAGCTTTGTTGCTGTTTTTGTTGACAAATTGTACAAAACATGTTTTACATCTACAATTGTGCATACAAACAGAGTTCAATCTACCAGTCAATCACTCACTCATAGATTCAAACTGTCTACTATGATTCACCAAACAATATCATTGGTATTCACATGGTGAAATCAAGTCAATAAATCAACAATATTGAGCGTAATTCATTCGACTTGAATTTCTATGTTATTAATATTCTTTCTTACAATTAAAATCTCCCTTAATAATAATGATAATAATAATAATAATAATAATCTTAATATTTTAACCTTTTATTAAAAAATATTTATATTTAACAGGGAATTAATGAACACGAACATGCTTCATAAAGGATCAAATGATTCGCTGCCTAATAATGATCAATTAGGCAGAGGTCCATTAATATTTAAACGTACAACTAATCATAACAGTAATAGTAATAACAATCATAGTAATAACAGTAATAATAATAACCATAATACGTCATCAAATATTATCCATAATGTACAATTATTCAATCAAGTATTACGACCAGTTCAACAAAGTTCCACACTATTAACAACAACAACAACAACTCACATGTCAAATTCATATCGTGGTTTAAAAATTAGTGATTTACCACCATCAAGTAAATTATCCGATAATCATTTAAGACAAAGTTTATTTACGGAATTTCGACGATGTGGTCGTATACAATCAGTGGTAGTGTTATCATCAATGAATAATAATAATAATAATGGTTCAACAAATACAACTAGATTAGCTATTGTTACATTTCGACGTGCTGAAGAAGCGGAATGCGCTTATCAAGCAATTCAAAGTGGTGCTAAGCTATTATTTTCAACACCGGTTTCAGTGGAATTACATCCAGGTTCAAATGGTAAGTAGTAGTTAGTGGATTGTGCCATATTTACCCTAATAATGATTTCTTTTTTGGTGTGCTAATATAACTACTCTTGACTGTAGCTGGTTACTTTGTTGGAAGTGGTCAGGTTTGCCTTTTTTTGATGACTCAACCGAGCTATATGGGCTGGAACATATGCTCCTTTAGGTCTGAGGGTGAATTCTTACTGCTAACTGCAGAAGTGTTTGACAGAAGCGCCCGAAATTTGAGGACTTCCCATAAAAAGGCCGTGCATAACCGCCCTCAAGTCGTTGTCTCTTGGGCTCTGTGATTACACTCAAGACCAATACTAACAAAAACCCTTGACGATGTGGTCATTCAGAAAGTGGTATCCAGCCTGATTCTCTGGTAATTGACGATTTATCATTTCAACTGATCGAAAGTATCGTTTATTTACATACTTATCTCAAACAACTCACAAATACCCTGATACAACTAAGAGTGGAGAGAGTTTACTCTATCTCTCCGAATGCTCTTATATGGCCATTCCTGTATAGCCAATACGATGAAAGTTCTACTCACTACTGCTTTCTCACATCACAAGTGTTGTTCATCATATTGAAAAGACAAAAATCGAATGTCCTATTTGGTAGATATAGAGGATCCATCTAGACGAGTTGGATAACCTTCATTCCAAACTAGTACTGCACACAGGCTCAACGATCCTGATAAAACAACTGACGTAGGAACCTATTTTTGGTCAATGACTATCATGGGATTGCATCTCCCTTCTAATGTTGATCCATTGCCTTTTAAATTAGACCAGTAGGTCAGTAGCTTGGAGACTGGTATCCTAAGAAAATCACCTACTTTTATTTGGACAGCCAACAGTAGCAATCTTTATCCTACATGCCAATTCAATGATTTGTTTGTCGTATACATATATTTTATTGCTTTTGTACCAATATTTACGTGTTTAAATTAATAAATCAACCGTTGAAATAAATTAAAATCCTTGCTATGATCAAATTATTCTGTCATTTTTTTTACGATTCAAACAAACTAACAAACATTTTAGCTATTTGACACATTTGTATTTCTTCTTCGATGAATCCATGGTGTGACATGCAGATAGACAGACAGATACAACACAGAACTTCGTACGTACGTACATCAGTTCAGGTTGCCATGCCCCATCAGCACAGAGACGCAACTGTCAGTTCAAATCCAACAGTGATAGCAATAATAGAAGTATTAGCAGTAGTGGATGAGATGAGGGAGCGAAGATATGATTCGAGAAGTATAATTTAGTGAGATAAATTTAGACGGAGAAAGATAGATATGATGAGGAATTCAGAAGGTTAGAAGTAGAGAGAACACAAAGACTGGATGCACCTGCGCCATTGCAAACGATTCTGAGCCATGTTATTCAAAGTCTCTAACCACCGGTGACTTTCGTCCCGCGAACCCCAACCAGGTAGTCGACACCTACGAACATGACTCAGTCCACTTGTCAGTGACTTCATGGATTTCTGCCATGTTTTGGTTTGGCCTCCCCTAGCTTTCTTCCAATCTACTGCTACACTGCAAAACATAGCTTGTCGTGGCAGTCGGCGGTTAGCCATACGTAACACATGTCCTAACCACCTCAACTGATGAAGTTTCATTACTTCATCTATTGATTTGCCATCCCTACCTAGAATTCGTTTCGGTGTGACATCATGCCGTGCTATAACTGTTCTCTCATTCCTATGATGTTATCTTCAAACTGTTCGAATCACATCAAGCATTTCATTATTCAGACATTTCTTTCT